TCGTAACTCTGAAAAAGATCAAAATTCCCTCTCTATCTACCTCTATATCTAGGTGGTGCTTATCAATAGCCTGGAAGTAGTATATTAATATGCTAAGGGCCGTGTTTATCAATTAATTCGTCTTTAATATGAAATATAACAAGTTTCGTCCGCAGGGTTGAGACTGGTGCTTGTAACATTAAAACGCTGAAACGAATGCGCCACAATATTTATTCAGTTGATTAGTTATAAGATGTAATAAAACCTAAATGCAGTTTACGTTTTCCCGCAAAGCGAATAAAAGAAGAAAAAAACGGTGGTCTTTATTTTACAAAAAAAAGTTACATAGTGTTGCCAGTTGTAACCTATCACAAACTCGAACTTTTTTCCGAAATAACGTTTGTTCGAATTTTCATTACACCGAAAACCGAATTGTAATGAAACCATTGTTCTTTCGGGATATATTGAATGTTTATCGCAAAGACACGATTAGGTTCGGTGAGATTAGGTTAAGTTAAAAGAAAACACATTTTGATCTCAAAATTACTTTCGGGGTTATGAAAATTCGAGCAAATGTTATTTCGGGAAAATGTTACTTCAGACTACTGATAGGTAACCGTTGCCGAATACTATATAAAATAAAATTAACCTCCGCTATTGACACAACTAAATGCTCCATAGTAAAGATGTCATCCCGGTAGCGATCGGCGCTCTGATTGGTCGCCGCGCTACAGAAGTCAATTTTTCTTCTAGTAATATTATTCTAATATTAATCGTGAGCTGAAATTATTTGTTAAACTTTGACATATAAGGGAGTCAAAAGATGGCGTTGTGTGCTACAAACTAATTTATAAATTAACGCTTCCTGATATGGAAAGATGGCGCTAATCCTAAACAACGTAAAAGAATAGCCGCTACTAACAATAAAAATCTGTGCAATAAGGGTCATCTAATCGATTTGTTTGTTATCTGTAGAAATTAGAGTAGCTTTAATAAATTGGATCTTGTCTTGGAGTCTTGTGTTCTTGTGATGGTAGCAGAAGAGCTCCTTGTGAAAGAGTTCGTCCAGGGAAGTACTGCTACCTTACCTATTTCTGCCGCCAAGCAGTATCGTGAGCATTACTGCGTTCCGGTTTTGAAGGGTAAAGTGCTTAGTTGTCAACTTATGTCTCAGGGTGATGACGATCGCAGTGGCAGCGCTCCTCAGATTTTTATGATTTAAAGCACTGCAACTGTTATGGACAGACACGCACTGTATCATAAAAACCATAACATGTTCCATGTTCTAAAACCACTTTATCATTGAGTAGTTAAAGCCTTATTAAAAATAATACTACCACCACACCCCGCTACTGTGCACACAATGATACACTGTTCAAACTAAGATTATCTCAACTCCAGTAAGACACGTGTTCTGCAATCTTAATTTGCGTTAACTGCGCCACCATGGGGTATTAGCGAAGATTTCAGCGCAATCTCATGAGAGCAAGGGGCGGGACTGCGGCATGCGGGAGGGGTAGAACATTAATCAACCTGAGCTCTTCTTATTACTTGTTAATATGAGCGTCCCGGAAGTCGATGGAGCGGATTATCACAGCCCAAACTTAATGTTTTTTTAACTTTGTCGAAACTGGTCATACCTACAATACTCTATTACAGTTGACCTATTCGTTTTACTAGTTCCGTTACTCAACACTAGATGGCACTATATTGAATAGTTCTGTAGTTATAGAAAAATCGTATAAACGTCAATGAGAGCTTTGACTTACGGTTTTTTTCCACGGAACTACCTGTGGTTACAAGGGAAATCCTTTGGGAATAAAGGGAAATTCTCTACCTATAGGTGGAAAAACAGTATTCTCGTATACAACAGTGGTTGCACCCAGTAACTCGTACAAATTGAAACGAGTCTACAGGATCTCTTAGAAGGAGGCGCTATTACTGTACTTTCAAGTTAAACGACTTTATATTAAAGGGAATATGGTTTATATCCTGTCATTATTAAAATTATTATTTTCTAAGTTTAAAAACTACATCAAAAATATTTTCACTAAAAAGTCATATTACAAATTTGAAGACTACGTGTTAGATAAAGATGTGTGTAAAGACGACAAGGCTCTAGATTCCACACAAATTTGATTCAAAGTGTATTCCATAGTATTTAAGTTTATCTAAAAGGAGCAATCCCTAGATTTTCTTGCTCGTTCTTCTCAGGAAAGTCAGCGTAGTGAACGAGCAGTAAATGGAATAAATGTTTCTTTGACCTGACTTTGACTTCACCTGAATTTCATAGTTTTTTAAGGGAAAAGAAACACAAAATAAGAGTAAGAGCACGTAGTAAAATAACAAAAGATTTATATAATGCAGTAAATTCTACAACGTTACTTCGTATTGATAAAGAAAGCGTCTTAAAGAAAAATGTACTAGAACGCCAAGGTTAATCACCTCGAACCATAAACCTTAATTAAGTCGAACAAAAAGTCGACCAAGAGCTGATCGATACAAAGATATTATATCCAAGCGACAAAGGTCAGATCCTTCCAATATTTCAACCGAGGGGCCTTAATATCCTTCTTGTTAGATCCCAAATCTATTGTTCATTTGATCGAGTTTATTAAATAAAGATCGTGGCAACATGTTGCTGGCCGACTAATATTTGAGAGACTTCCGGAATCTTAGTATTATAATCCTTCGCCTGTACTTATTTTGTACTCATACTGAGTGATGTTTCGTTAATTTATAGAGGGTTATTCAATTGTGACCTTCAACCACGGAACAATAAATTCAGTAGAAGTATCAACGCGAGACGCGTGCCAACGTTAGGTCTGGAAAGACCTACTTGAGCTCAGTCCTCCGTTTTCGATTTGGTTGTGTCATTCTGTGGCACAAATTCCCTAAGATTGCAGAAAAATACCTTGTACTGTTTTGGAGTTCAAAAATGATAGCTGCTCCAAAAGCAGTATTTGATATCATCGGTAAGCCTTATTTTAATAAATTTTCAATTTTCTGTTTATCGAATTGATTCAGATGTTAATCGTTCGTCGTAGTTCAGCTACGGACCGAAAGATGGCAGCACGTTGAATATAATTTCAATATAAAATTAAGACGTCGTAACTTGCAATACAGATATTGAACTTTCAACGATATAGCGACTGAATAAAGTTTAAATTATATTAGCAATCCAGAACTTGTTACATATTTGTAAATAAAAAAACTATGACCAATCATTATCAAGATTTCGTGGTGTTTATCATTTGTTTGTGTGCGTTTTGGCGACGGCGGTTTCTATAGTAATCGAGGCTTAAGCACGGACTTGTATATTTAAATGGACCGCGCACTAAGTCAATAAAACGAGCCGAGTGAGAGGCTTCAAAGTAGTAATGCGTCTCTTTCTAATAACCCTATTGAAACATTCATTCATGTTTCAGCCTGCCATATTCTTTTTAAACTTTTTAATTTTTATAGAAGATGTGGCCGCTTATGGATGACAAAAACTACTAATATTATTTCATAATACAAATTAGTATACTTATTTGATATGCTACTTCATAATAGGTTTCATTTTTGATATATATGGTATATATGATATATAGGTTTCATTTTTGATATATATATAGATATATATGTATATATATATATATATATATATATATATATATATATATATACATATTTCCTTTT